TCCTGTAAGCACTGCAGCTAGGAGATGCAGAACAGTGCTGTCGCCCACATCATTTCCTCCTGCTCACCATTTGAAGTCAGCCTCCTCACCCAGCTGTTCTTTGCCCATACATTTTTTCCTTTTTCCAGAATGTCATACAAATGGCATCCTATAGTGCATATCCTTTTGATCCTGTCTTCTTTGGCTTAAAATTCTACATTTGTAAGCCATTGATGTTGTTTCATATTTTGATATTTTTTCTTTTTCATTGCTGAATAATATTCTGTGTTGTGGATGTATTATGTTTTGTTTATTCCTTCATCTTCTAAGGAATGGTCAGATGGCTTCTTGTTTGGACCATTGAAATGGAGCTCCTGTAATATTTGCACCCAGGAGTGGGATTCCTAGATCATAGATCAAATGTATGCTAACTTTGTAAAAAACTGACAAACTGTTTCCCAAGTGGCTGGTAGTTTTGTATTTCTGCTTATAATGTGGAGGCTTTCTTTCAGTGGCTGTGCATTTCAGCACTTGGTACTTCTCATTGTTTTTCATGTTTTTACTTGAACTTTTCTAATAGTAGCAGGATCTCTTTATGTTTTTTGTTTGCTTGTTTGCATTTATTTTTTTCTTTTGTACCAGAGATTGAACCTTGGAGTGCTTAACCACTCAGCCACATTCCCAGACCTTTTAACTTTTTATTTGAGACAGGATCTCCCTAAGTTGCTTAGGGCCTTGCTAAGTTGCTGGCCCTGTGTTTGACCTTGGGATCCTCCTGTTTTAGCCTCCCAAGCTGCTGGGATTATAGGCATGCACCACCCCACCAGGCTCTCTTTATGGTTTTTAATTTGTTTTTTTCATAATGACTCATGATGCTTAACATGATTTCATAAGCTTAGCATTTGTATGCCTTCTTTTTTTCTGGAAAAGTCATATACTTTATTTTACTTTTTAAATTTTTTTATTTGTTTTAATTAGTGATACATGACAGTAGAATGCTTTTATACACTTTGATACGTCATATATAGATGGGATATAATTTCTCATTTTTCTGAGTGTACATGTTGCAGAATCACATTGGCCATGCTGTCACATATATACATACAGTAATAATGTCTGTTTCATTCTACTGTCTTTCCTATGCCTACATCCCCTCCCCTTCCCCCTCATCAATTCCCTCCGCCTAATCTAGGGTAACACTATTCTTCCCTAGTGCCCCCTGCCTTATTGTGAATTAGCATCCACATATTAGAGAAAACATTCTGCATTTTCTTTTGTTAAGTGTTGCTCATATCTTTTGTATATTTCTTATTGGCTTGTTTGATGAGTTTTGAGGATTCTTTATTCCTATATGTTGTCACATATGTGGGCGGTCAACATTTTATCCCAGTCTGTGGTTTGTATTTGTACTCTCTTCATTCTGTTTTTCATGCAGCAATTTTTTTTAGATTTATTGAGATTCGGTTGACCAGTTGTTTTTTTTTTTTGTTTGTTTTGTTTTATCGGTTGTTCTTTTGGATTTGCATCAGAGAAGTCTTTGTCTAACTCAAGGTCACTAAGAATTTCTTCTGTTTCATTTCAAGGTCTTGTAATTTTACTTGTTTTTGCTTCAAGCTATGATGGATTTACATGATATGAACTCCACGTCAAGCTTCTATGTCTATTTGCACATAGATGTTCCAGTTAACTTAATTCATTTGTTGAAAGCATTAGACATTCTACAGTCTGTACCTCTGACACCAAGTGAACTTACTGGTGTAGGGGTTTGTTTTTAGACTCTCCTGTTTCATCAGTCTGTGTTTCTATCAATGCTAATACTCTGTCTTAGTCTAGCATAGGAGTAACTCCTACAATCAAAGTCAATCCTTCAAATTGGATCTTCCCTTTTAGCATTATTTTGGCTGTTCTTCTTCCTTTGTTTTCCACATAAGCGTTAGAACCTTTTTGTCAATATGTTCAAAAAAATCTGCTAGGTAGTATCTAGCTAGGGACTGAGTTTCATCTCTAGGTCAATTCAGAGAGAATTGGCATCTTACTGTTCACTCTGTGAATCCAGAAACATGCTATATCTCTCCACCTAGGCATGGATGCTTTTGACTCTGTGTACGTGCATGTGCGTTTTACTTTAAGTAGATAACAGAAATAGAAGAAAAATAAAACAAATATGAATCTCCCATCTGTGATGGTCTTTCTTCTCCTTATGCTGCCCTCTACCATATGCTTTGCAAAGTTCACAGTTAGATGCTATTTTATTCCTTCCAGGATCAGGATTTATACTCGAAATTAGTTGGAGAAAGAGCATATATAGTAGGCTTACTCTAACTTGTTTAATGTTGAAAATCTTTTGTCTTTAGTTTTAATCATCTAAATCCCTTCCTGTTTTAGATAACATGGATTACAGATTCAAGAGCTTCTTCCCCTTTTGATAATGTCAGGATGTGTAATTTAAAAATAAATGAAATGGAAATTGATGTGACAGTTTGCAGAATCACCAGGGTCTGTCTGGGAGCATTTCTTAGCAGGCAGTAACTTGCTGACAAATAACAGGAGTTAGCATGTAACACAGGATCTCACAATATTACCATTTATTTAGCCCCAAAGAGAATATAATTTCATGTGTCCAAACACATCTCAGCTGATTGGTAAACTCTAGCATCTTCCAAACTAAATTCTCCTAAATCTCAAAGGGATTTATTATCAAGAAGGTATAAATAGCTTTATCTTCCAATAAAAATAATAATCATATTTTCCATTTTATCTGCAAGAATTTGAAATCCCCGAATTTATCCTCTCCAAGTATTAATTGAATTTTTAATATATGTCCTCTTTTTAAGTTATTTGTAGTGTACACACATGAAAAAAAATACAACTGGCCTTTTTTTTTCTGTTTTCTAGCTACATAATTTGAGAATCTTCAAGTTTTTATATATATATATATATATATATATATATATATATATATATAAATAAATAAATAAATAAAAAGCTTTTCTAGGATCATGGACTAAAACAGCATGCTGCAGAAAAGAAGCTCACCATGGGATATTTGATATGCTGTTAGAATGTTAATTTATCTTTTGTTAGAATAGAAGTTTGGTCATAAATTTAAAAGGTTGCACAGGGACTTATGAATTTCTTCCAAATATGTACATTTTTGAAACCACAGAAAACATCTTACTGTTTTCACAGGGACTGTAGTTTGCTTTAAAAAACCTATTCTATGTTTATACATATCATCTTATAAGTTATGTTTTCAAATGGTATAACTAAATTATGATTGTAAATCTCAACCAAGTGTGGGAAGTGAGGACTTCATGAAGATTAAAGCATCTTACACACAGAACTGTCCAATTATGGGCAGAAGTCCAACTGGTGTGCCTTATGGGACCCTCATTGATTCATTATTTGTGCCCTAGGCATTGTGTTGCACCTGGGATTTCCGAGATGATTAAAACATCATCCCAGTTTCTTTTTTCTTGAAACCCCCAAGTAGGGCATAGTGAATTGATTTTGAACTAGAATTGTAATTATCTTTTTTCAAATGAACATTTGGTCCTTCACTTAGTGGTTCAGATGAAGGGGAGAAAGCAATCACATTGTACCCATAGGCCTCTAGTGGATAAAAATCTTACAATAAATATGCAGGTGATTCATTCATAATGTATAGCTTTTGTAGTTTATAAATTTCACTTGAGTTGTACATTTAATTCCCTTTATAATTTCCTGATTAGGCCAGGCTTGAATTAAAAGCCCTGTTTATAGTTACTCTAAAAGAAATATAAAAGAAGTGATATAAATGTACACCCTAGAAAAAAAGTAGAGAAATAATAAAGTTGAAATTCCAGGGTCAGTGCTCCCTCTGTAGCATTTCATTTTCTGAAAAAAGAGGAGCCCCGCATGTTGATCCATAATCCATGGATTTAAATTCTCATGTTGTATTGACTGAGTTAATGTTGTTCAGTTAGCTAGGAAGTCAGCTAAGACTTGGTGAAAATGTCACCTCTGCTGGGAAACTCATATGGATTAGACTGATTAGGATTCTCTCTCTTTTTTTTTTTTTTAACTCTTGCAGTTGCTACAGTAATAAATTAATTACTTTCTAAATTATTCTTTTAAATTTGCATTCTGTACTGAAGTGTGAACTTCATGAGGCTGTTTCTCTTCACTGGTCCATTACCACTCTGTGCATCACTGGGCTCTAAACAGCAGGTCTCTGTTCTTTTCTTTACATATTCCAACCCCATGTTTCCTCAGGTCCTTTGCAGACTCTCCAGTGCTTGGGATATTCTGCTGAGAGCCAGTGAATTGGGCTCATTACCTGGTCTCAACATGCCAACTCTTTAAAGAGCTTTTTCTTTACAATCCCAGTGAAGTATCTCATGTTCTCCTTTCTTTGCATTGTATAATGGAGCATTATTTGACATTATTTTATCATTTTTCTATGCTTTATTTAAAACTTCCCTGAGAACATGCATTTAACCTTTTTTTAAAAAAAAATAAAACAAAACACTTTTACCCCATTTCCTCCATGATGCCTGTCACATCATACTTACAAATAACACTTTTGTTGAATGAATGAATATATGAAACCTTAGGTCTGATATGCTCATTAATTCTTTTAGAAGACAAGAAAACAAGTACATGGCTATTTTTTAAAAAAATATGTTATGACCCACCTACAATAGTCCTGTATACTACACTTTAAGAAATGCAAATTAATTATCAAGTATTTATGTCTTAGTGTCTTTCCTCCTGGGAAATATATTATAAACTTCCTATGGATATATTCTCTTCCCTCCTCCTTTAAAGTGCGCGCGCACACACACACACACAAAGTGCATGTATGGCACATAGTGGTTGTCTAGGAAGAATGCATTTAATAAAATATATTTGTGTACTTATCTAGGGGTAGTTTATGGTGTTTGGCCATATGTATTTTTTTCTCAGTAACAATGAGGTGCTTGTCTATGCAACAAGTCTATTTTGGTAATAAATAAAAACTTTTCTTCTCATATCCACAGGATTATACCTTGACAATGTACTTTCAGCAAGCCTGGAGAGATAAGAGGCTGTCCTATAATGTAATACCTTTAAACTTGACTTTGGACAACAGAGTGGCAGATCAGCTCTGGGTGCCTGATACCTACTTCCTGAACGATAAGAAGTCATTTGTTCATGGAGTGACTGTCAAAAACCGCATGATCCGCCTGCATCCAGATGGCACAGTCCTTTATGGCCTCAGGTCTGTAGTATCCATTTTAATATTTAACTTTTCCTGAACAAAATAATTATTGATTTTTGTAACAGAAGAGTAATGTGCTGTTTTCTTTACTCTGCCTGCAATTTTGCTGATAAACAGTTAAACCTCCTATCCAGTAAATATCTGAGAGCTTAGGATAGCATGTTTACAAAGGGACTTAGCGCCAGCTAAGACTAAGTTTTTTTTTTTTTTTTTTTTCTGAATTATCTTCCAAAATCAGCTGCTGATCCTAAAGCTGCTTTCTTTAAGGAATAGGGATAAACAATATCAAAATAACAGAGATGCAAGGTTTCTTCAGAATGGAAAAAAAATCATGGATGCTGAATGATTGTGTTTGAATGTGGCAGATGCTCTGTTTTGTAAATTGCTCCTGAGCTGCCTGAACTGGGTCATGGTCCTCTGATGACAGGAAGGCTTAGAGTGCCCTCGCACCCTCCAAGGAGCATTCTGACCTGAAAATAAACAAAGTATTTGTCTTATGCTTATTAATAGGATATTCATACTCTTATAGGTACCTCCCTGTCAGAAAAGAATTGTGATGCTATGCTATGTGGATGAGGATCATTTTAAATTAGGCAGTTTCTACTTTTAAATTTTATTTTGTATTAAAAGGAATGTATGACTTCCCAGGGAAAATGAAGAAAATACACACATGCGTGCGCACACGCGCACACACACATATTTCTGAGAAAAATACAATGCAGAGAATTTCTTTTCATTATAGTTCACATCTACTCGCCTGGCATTTGATTACATTTGACCAACAATTGATACAGATCTTAGTCTGGCCATAGTGCAGTGGTGGGAATAAGTCACTGTTGCTAATAAAATAACATTCATCAAGGATGTATTATAGTGGAAGATATTACAAATTTTAACATTTTCAGTAACCTCTGATCTATTCTATTTTATGGAATGGTGATGATAGTACTAATAATAGTATTATCCATTGATTGAACACTAGAGTTAAATGTTGAGCTAAGTGTTTCCCATGCATTATCATACAGTAGTCTCCCCCTTATCTACAGTTTGACTTTCTTCCATTTCAATTGTGTGGTCTGAAAATATATAAAAATTCCAGAAATAAACTACATGTTTAAATTTGCACTATTCTGAGTTACATGATAAAATCTTAGTTGCCATCTGGCTCTCTCTCACCTGGGATGTGAATCATCTTTTTGTTCAGTGTTTCCTTGCAGTATATGCTACCCAACTATTAGTCACTTAGTAACTGTCTTGGTAATCATATCCTATCAAAGTATTGCAGTGCTTGCATTCAAATAACCCTTATTTTTCTTAATATGGTCCTAAATTGCCAGTTCACATATGCCACTTTGGCAGTTCACATGTGCCAAAGAGAAGTTGTAAAATGCTCCCTTTAAGTGAAAAGGTGAATGTTTTTGAGTTACAAGGAATGAAAAAGCATCATACACTTAATTTGCTAAGATCCATAATAAGGAATGTATCTTTTAAGTGTAAAATTGTGATGAAGGAAAAAGATTTCCAAGCTAGTTTTCTCTCCCACCTCAAAATGTAAAAGTTATAGCCACAGTAAGTGATAAGTGCTTAGTTAAGATGGAAAAAGCATTAAAATTGTGGGTGGAAGACACGTCAAGAAAATGTGTTCCCATTGACAATGGTATCTTCTGCTAAAAAGAACTGAGCCTAAGAAGACTTTGACCCAGGATCCCCAGAAACCATTGACACCAAACCATTTACTGCAAGAAAGGGATGGTCACACCAATTCAGAAATAGGTTTAAACTGAAAAAAAAATATAAAATTTACTGGGAAGGCTGCATCTGCTGATGCAGAAGCTGCTGTCACATTTCTGGCAGAATTGAAGAAGCTGATTAAGGACAAAGGATCGCATCCAAAGTACATCTTCAAATTCAGTGAAACTGAGCTCTTTTGAACTAAGATATGCAATAGAACCCACATTCAAAGAAAAAAAAAACAAACCAAAAACAAAGGAAATGAGGGCGTGAAGTATGGAAGGGCAGGTTGTCAACTCTGGTACTGTGAGGCAATCGGGCATGTGAGAAAGTCAGGCATAGGATGCAGAGTAGAGAATACACATGCAGTTGAAACAAAAATGAGTTTTCTGCCCATGTTCTGGCAACATAATCAGAGAGAGTGGGCAACAGCCATCCTGTTTATGAAAAAGTTCTTCTAGTGCTTCATCTCAGAAGTGAGAAAATACTTGGAAGAGGGAAAGTTGGAATTTGAAGTCCTATTAATAGTAGACAGTGTCCCTGGCCATCTTGAAACTGCTTACTATATAAATCAAAATGCCCACATTCTATGTTTACCTCCGAATACAATCTCATTGCTTTAGATCCTTGGCCAGAGCATTGTTCAGTTTGTCAAGGCCACTTATATCCACCTGGCATTTGATTGCATTAGATCAGCAGATGATATAGACCTTAATCTGGATATAATACAGCAATAGTAATAATTCACTATTGCTGATGAAATAATATCCATCAAAAATTCCAATGATGAGTTGAAACAAGACATTGTCAATATCCTTGGGAGTAACTTAAAGAGTGAGGTAATAAATTATGGTAAAGTCTTCCCAGGGAATGATGGAAAAGTTAAGAAAATCATTTCCAGGACAAGGCAAGTAGGTGGAGAAGGATTTGCCAACACACTTGGTGAAAAAGTGGAACAACATATGGAAGGCCATCAAGAAGTGTTAACAGATGAGGAATTTTAAGAACTCAATGAGTCTCCCATAGAGACAGAATAAGATGAAGAAGAAAAACCTGAAGCAGAACCAGCAGTGTGGGCATTCCTAAAATTTGCTGAAGGATTTCTAATTATGCAGACATTAAGGGACAAGACTATGGAATGTGATCCTCAGATGGAATGCAGCATTAAAGTTACCCATGTGATCACTGAAGGATTACAACCTCTGCAGTAATGTGTTGATGAGTTCAAAAGGAAGACCAGCAACTTCTGGATGATGTTCTTCCAAAATTTTTCTGCAATTAGCTACCAAAGATCACTAACCACTGACATTACCTCATCCTGACATCCACCCATCAATATTGTCATGGCTCTGCGATCCCAGATCACTCGCAGCAGATGATTCTCCTCCTGACGCAGTGTCAGAAGGTCCGGTCCGTGGTCACCTAATGCTGCATCACAATGCCCTTGCCAGTCACTTCTCTGCATCTCCTCGGGCTGGCTTTGCATCACCTCACATCATCTCATAAGAAGGTGAGTGCAATAAGAAAATTTAAGAGAGAGCACATTCCATTCGCCTAAACTCAAGTACTGTGTGGTTATAATTGTTCTATTTTATTATTAAGTACTGTTATTAATCTATTACTATGCTTTGCTTTATAAATAAAACTGTACCATGGGTGTTTATGCATAGGAAAAAGCATAGTATACATAGGGTTTGGTACCCCCACTCTATGGTGTCAGGCATCCACTGGAGATCTTGGAAAACATTCCTCCCAAGGATAAGGGGGAGCTACTGTATTAATCCTTATAATAGCCCCACATATTAGGAACTGTTATGAGTTTACATTCAAATGAACAAACAGAAGATGATGAGCCTTGCCCAAGAACACACACACAAAATAAAAATCATTGGAGATGTTATTTGAACTCTGTTCCAGTTTCAAAACCAGAGCCCAATGCTACACAGGGATACCTCTACTTGAATATTTGTCTTACCTGTTTTATCTCATTTTTATTTTCTGCTTGACTCATGTGTGATCATAGACCCTGAGATTCAGATTCTGTTTATCATGGTTGTAGAGGGAACGGCATTTAGCTGTCAAGGGAGGGAGAAAAAAAAAAAGGAAGGACATAGAGGGAGCCCTGGAGGCAAAATAATGGATTAGACACCCACACTGCTCACGTACTTGCTTCTTTAGGAAGGAAGAAAAACAGAGAGAAAATACACTGAACATTGTCTGAAAAAATTCTACCACAGTGGTGACTTTAAAAATCACAATGGAAATAATTGTGTTCAGCAGATACATTTTGCTAAACATATATCTTGAAGTCAACCACGCAACACAGCCAATCACAAAGACCTTAATGAATGAGTGGCCATGTAGACCATGGAAAACATGGAAAGGTTGTAGCTCCCACTTCTTAAAAGTTAAGCATAGAGAGAAGTAGGGATCTGGAAGAAGGCAGAGGAGAGACAGAAATAATAAGTTGGTCATTGGGCAGGGAGGACTGCTAATGGCAAGCGCCACGCAGCAGACTCGGTGATGGACATACTTTTCCCATCAAATCATCTCATCTTTAAAGAATTCATGCAGAAATCATCCCGAGCTCTTACTCTTTCCCCGCAATACTCACCTTTAGGATAGAGATCTGTGGTATTTTGTTTTTAAATCCAGTACTGATACTGGCTGCGGGCGCACATACCTGTATTCCGAGAGGCTTGGGAGCCTCAGGCAGGAGGATCATGAGTTCAAAGCCAGCCTCAGCAACTTAGTGAGGCACTAAGCAACTAAGTGAGAAACTGTCTCTAAATAAAATAAAATATTTAAAAAGGACTGTTGGAGGGACTGGGGTTGTGGCTCAGCTGTAGAGCGCTCACCTAGTGCGACTGGGTTCGATCCTTAGCACCACATAAAAATAAATAAATTTTAAAAACAAAGTTATTGTGTCCAACTACAACAAAGAATAAATAAATAAATATATATTTTTTTTAAAAAAAAAGGGAGCGGCAGGGGATGTGGCTCAGTGATTAAGTGCCCCTGGACTCAATCCCCAATATCAATAATAATAATAATAATAATGACAACAAAAACAATATGAATAACAAATCCAGTACTGACAAAGCACCTACATGTAAATAGCAACTCAGTGAATATTGGGAATGAATTTGTGAATGCATACATATGTAGTTGAGTGTACAGGAAAATCGGCAATCAGAATATCTTCGGAATTGAGAGAGACGAGGAATACCAGAACAGATGATGAATTGACTTCTTTGCATTGTCACTAG